CGACGCGGGGCTCGAACTCACGAGCCGTGAGATCGGGACCTGAGCTCAAGAGTCAGATGCTTAACCGACTGAGCCACCCTGGCGCCCCAAGATTCTTTAATTTCTAAAAATGACTGGATACTCAATACTGTCATTAAGTACATATGATGATGGCATTTTTAGCTTACATTTGATCTTGCTTTATGCCTCCATTTATACTATCAGAGTTTGCATTTAGAAATGACATAGTAGTCTAGGAATGTGAATTATTGAGGCGCCTGGGTGGCTCAGTCAGTTAAGCGTGCGACTTCGGCTCAGGTCATGATCTCACAGTTCATGGGTTTGAGCCCCATGTGGAATTCTGCGCTGACAGTAAGGAACCTGCTTGGGATTCTCTGTCTCTCTCCCTCTGTCTCTCCGCCCCTACCCTACTCTCTCAAAAAATACAATAGAATAGAAAAGGAATGTGAATTATGAGGGAATTTCTTCTAGTCTCAGACCCAGTGCACACATAAGGTATAGGTCTTCAATTTGATTTGCAAATTGGACTCTGAGGGGTTGGGGTGGGCAGGGGTGACTTTTCTGGAGGCCCTGTGTGGCTCTGAACCTACAGACCTTCCAAGCAGTAAGCCCTCTGTCAATTTCTGCTTGCGGGTGCTGTTGTGGTCTTGGGGATGTTTGCAACGGCTGAGGGTTCTGGCAAAAGCTAAGTTTCTGGACAGTCCCACAGAAGATACTCTAATATCCCCGAGCGTGTGTGGGGTTCCTTCCAGGGAGGACAGTGAGGTGCAAATACGAGTTATTACAGAGTACTTATGTACCGGAATTAATTAATCCTCCGTTGCTTTACAAGCTTAATGAAGCTTTTGTATAGTTTTTATTAAAAAGAAAAAAAATCATGCTCATGCCAGAAGTACCTAAAAAGCTTGAACAGCCAGACCTCATTTAACAAGTCACAATCCAAGGTCACACATACAGTGTTGAGTGAAAGAAGCCAGGCACAGAGGAACACCTACTGCAGGATCCCTGTTTTGAAAAACAGGCAGAATTGAAGCAACACTTTTGGGGACACGTGCTGAAGGAAAGCCCTGTAAAGACAAGTAAGGAAGTGATTCCGTTATCTATCCTCCACCAGGTGGTGCCGACGGGGTTATTTGCCCCGTGCCAATTCACCGAGCTGTACACTTCGATTTTGTGTGCTTTTCTGTATAGATGTGATTCTTCACAATACGAATAGCCTTAACAACGCTAACCCAGTGAAAAATGTCTCTTACTAACTTAGCACATAGAGACTTCCAGGTGTGTTTGTATGCACGGTGACGTTCTAGGTACTCTTTCGTAAGTTCCCGTTTGGGCTCGATCCATGGTCAACATCTTCCTTTTGGTTATGTTTGAATGGGAACAAGAACGGATGTAATCTTGAAGACTAAACCTGTGAAATGTTGGAAAGGAGGTGGAGGAACTGGAGCCTTCATGCATTGCTGGTGGGAAGGCAGAATGGTATAGCCACTTGGGGAAACGGTTGGGCGCTTTCTGAGAAGTTCAACATCCACGTATCGTACACCCCACTCGTCCCACTCCGAGGGACCTGCACGAGAGAAACGGGAAAGTAGGCCCGTACAAAGTGTTACGTAGAAATGTTTAGAGCAGCCCCATAATAGCCCAAACTTGGAGCCAACCCAAATCTCCAAAACCGGTGGAAGAATAAACATTTGTCCAATTGAATAGGACTCAGCAATCAAAAGAAACTACTCACACATGCTACAACAGGGATGAAACTTGAAAACACTCTACAAAATGAACAGAGCCAAGCACAAAAGAGTACACCTTGTTCGATCCCTGTTATATGTTTCACGGCGCATGGCTCCATTTCACGGAGGTAGCATGAATTATTTGACTGAGCCCCATTGTTAGACCTGAACTTGTTTCCCATTTTTCAATATTATGCATAGCATACGGCTAAATATTGGTGCCCAGTCTTAATGATTTCTTTAGGCAAATGCCTAGAAATGGAACTGCCTGTGTGAAAGTCTGTCCATTTTAAGCCAAACGGCCCTTCCCAAAGTGCACTCAGTCTGGGCTCCCGCCAGCAGGGCTCCCGTCTCAAATATAGCACCGCTTGCCACACGGTGGGGGGTGGGGAGGTCACTCTTCCAAGCCCAGGAGCCCCACCCTCATGACGCTCTGTATTTGTTTGCAGACGCCCAGCACGCAGTTTCCATGGCCTTGCCGCAGGGTGCCAACAGCTGCCAATTGGCAGGCTTCACCCTAGCCACCCTAGGATGGATCCTCACCATCACTTCCATGGGCCTCGTGGAGTGGCGAGTGTGGCACATAGGGAACACCTCTCTCTCTCACTCCAGAGCGGTCTGTGTGGGAATGTGGAAGGTGTGCATTTACCACCATGCCCCCAACGCCAACAGATCTACATTGTGTTACCATTACACCCAAGAGGATACTTACATCCCTTTGGATATTCGTATTTGTCAAAATCTCCTGTTGGTCGCCAGCATCCTAGGTCTCATGGGGAGAGTCTCCACCATCTTTGCACTTAAAAACGTGTGCGTTGGAAGTGTTCAGAGGAATGCCACCCTCGGTCCACTCGTCTCAGGAATTCTGGACATAGCTGCTGGCATCTGTGTCTTGATCCCTGTGATCTGGAATTACCACTCCGTGATGAATGAAGAGGGTATTGCCTTCCCACCGTTTCTCTCTCTACCCTTCAAGCCCGATACCCAGGAGCTGGGCAGTGCCATTCTGGTGGCGGGCCTGAGTGCCATCATGATGCTGTCCAGCGGATTAATTTTCCTCTTTTACAGGTGCCCCATAGCTCGCCAAGTGCAGCCTCAAACTTCAGAAATGTAAACTCTTGGTTGCATTGGCTTTCCAAATTCAAGATTACCAAGCATTTGTGACGAGTTCTAGCGGGATGCCCTATCAAATATTTCCAACGATTCTAGACCATGCCAAGGGTAGTTGTGGGCAGAAAGTAGCCAACTATTTCCATCTGCTATTTTCTACGTCTTGGGTTCATTAAAATAAAATTTCACTTTAAAAAAATCTTCCCCACCTGTCGGTTGGTCTTACTGAGTCTGAATTTCAATTATTGTCGAATAAATAATCTATACTATAAACCTAGTGTATGGACATAAGATTTTCTGTGATTCTCACATGTCCCTTTTTTTCAAGTTGGTTTTGTTGTTGTTGTTGTTTATTAATTTATTTTGAGAGAGAGAGAGAGCATGTGAACGGGGGAGGGCCAGAGAGAGAGGAGAGAGAGAATCCCAAGCAGGCTCCACACCGTCAGCACAGAGCCTGACTCGGGGCTCGAACCCACGAACCGGGAGATCGTGACCTGAGCCGAAATCAAGCGTTGGACGCCTAACCGACTGAACCACCCAGGCCCCCCTCCAGAGTATTTTACTTTCTTTCTTTTTTTTTTAATGTTTATTTTTGAGACAGAGAGAGACAGAGGATGAACGGGGGAGGGTCAGAGAGAGAGGGAGACACAGAATCCGAAGCAGGCTCCAGGCTCTGAGCTGTCAGCACAGAGCCCGACGCGGGGCTCGAACCCACGAACCGTGAGATCATGACCCGAGCTGAAGTCGGACGCCCAACCGACCGAGCCACCCAGGTGCCCCCCCTCCAGAGTATTTTAAAGCAAACCCCAGATATCATGTCCCTTCATCCCTACACACTATCTAAAAGATGGACATTTCCTTGCATAATCATTCTGTGCCTTAAAAAATTGAACAGTTATCCCTTGTGATCATGAAATATTTAATCAGAATTGTTACATACCTCCAAAATAATTGTACAATTTTATTTCTTCCACACAAGATGCGCACTCTGTCTCTTAAATCTCAAACTAAAGTACTCCGCCTTCGGCGCCCACTCCACCTTTTGTTCTTGCAAGATTTTATTTTCAAGTAATCTGTACACGGAACGTGGGGCTCGAACTCAAAACCCCAAGATCCAGAGTCACATGCTACACTGACTGAACCAGCCAGGCACCCTTGCCTTTTTTTCCTTTTCTTAATTTTGATTTGCCTAAGAAAGTGGGTCTGTTGTCCTCCCGTGAAACTTGTCACATCTCAAGGCTTCATTAGATTCCAGGTCAGCTGTTTGTGGAAGAGTATGTCAAAGGCGAAGCCCTACTTAGACTGAGTGCATTGTAGCGGGTGGTAAATGGTTATTTACCTTTTTAGTGATGCTAATATTGATGGGTGGATCCAGAAGGGGAAAACCCAAACCCTCTCATAAATTTCATCCAGCTTCCACCTTTTGATGGTCCTTGTGCGAATCAATGATTGCACTAAGGATTACGAGTGGTGACTTTCTAATGTGAACATTTTTGTCAGATTTATTGACTAGAATGCTTTTGTAAAGAAGAGCTTTCTCTCATCAAGTGTGGCTATTTGGGTTCTCTGCAATTCAGCTCAGACACAAAAGGCAAGGTAAATGCTTCATTTTTTCCCTTTAATTGTGCAATTGCTAGAGGAAGGGGGAAGAAGTCCTTAATTACCTTGGTGTTGACCGATGGCATTTTAAAATTGTTTTCACTGTTAGTTTTCATTTTTGTCTTTTTCTCCTGAGAGTGTAAACTCAACTCTGGAGTCTGAACTCATGAGACTGTTTCCGTGTTTTTGTGGAAATTTTCCAATGCCTTCAAAAGTAGACCAACGATTTTCTCAGCTTCAAGAATTCCCATTAGGTGCCCTATAGTGTTTCCTCCCTATCCTCACCGACTCTCACCAACCCCAGTCTTGGATCATTTTGTAATAAATCCCTGGCAGTGTATCATTTTATTGATGAATACTTCAAAACACATCTCTAAAAGATAAGGACTCCTTTTTCATAACATAACCACACTGTCATTATCACACCAAAAAAAAGTTAATACTTTCCTAATGGAAACAAATGTGTAGTCAATGTTCAAATTCCCCTAATTGTCTCATACATGCTTTTGTGGTTTATTAATTTTGAGAGAGAGAGAGAGAGAGAGAGAGACGGAGAGAATGCAAGCAGGGAGGGGCAGAGACAGAGAGAGGGAGAGAGGATCCCAAGCAGGCTGCATACCTTCAGTGCAGAGCCCCACGCAGGGCTTGAACTCATGAACCGCGAGATCATGACCTGAGCCAAAGTCGGACGCTTAACCAACCGAGCCACCCAGATGCCCAGATATATCTAGGTTTTTTGTTTCTTTTTTTAAAGTTTATCTACTTATTTCTGAGAGAGAGAGAAAGAGGATTTCGAGCAGGCGCCACACTGTCAGCAAAGAGCCCAACACAGGGCTCGAACTCATGAACCGTGAGATCATGACCTGATGTGAAATCGAGAGTCAGATGCCTAACTGAGCCACCCGGGTGCCTCTTGTTGATACAAATTTAAATAACTACTCCCAGCACCCCCACGCAGTTAGGTATGCCCTTCGTGGACTGTGGAATGCCTTTTGCTCCCCAACTTCGTAGGTGGTCCAGTCAGCTCCCAGGGTAACTCCTACGTCCTCCTAATGCCCTATTTCATTACATTCTGAAATCATCCTGGAGGCTGGCCTAGAAGAGAGACAACACCTTGAGCTCACTCACTGATGAATTCTTTCCCCAACATTCACTGGGTGTCTTTCACATGAGAGGTGACATCAACACATTTCACCGAGAGCTTTGAGGATATGGTGTATACAAGACACACACCTCCCATTTGTGCTGCGTGATTGCTCACGCCATTCACAGCCCTTCAGATGCGTAAATGGCCTCAAACGAAATAAAAGACTAAAAGATAAGGTCTTAATGGGTAAAACTCAGACACACTTGAATCTAGAGTGACAGACTGAGGGTCATACTGAGTTCACAAGAGAGAAATCAAAGGGCTAACCTGGAATGTCTTTCTTTTCAAAGAACATTTATTTGTTTGAGAGCATAGTGTTCGAAAAAATTTCCCCACTGTGACAAAAGTCTATCAGCTACTTAAATTTTCTTAATGTTTCTTTATTCTTCAGAGGGAGAGAGAGGAGAGAGAGAGAGAGAGAGAGAGAGAGAG